GTTAACACATACAGAGTTTCCCAAAAGCAAGGACAGTTTCATAAGAATAGTGGTTAATAAATGTTTGCTAAACTTAGTTAAGTGACTTTTTCCATCCGTGTGCTCTTTTAAGGCTTCAAAGCCTTCGGATGATCATTCTGGAACACATGAAAGGTGGCTGAGACATGAGGTGAGCAGACTCTGGCTACATGGTCCATGTAAAAGAAACGGGACCCTAACAAGCTGAATGGGTGTGATACTGCAGAATATCAACCAAAACAGATTAGAAATGGCAGAAGAGAAGGAGGAGTCAGGATAGCAAATGTCATAGATTCCCCATAGTTGCTAGTCTTTTTTTTTTTTTTTTTTTTTTTTATTTCAGAGAGGAAGGGGAAGGGAAAGAGAGATAGAAACATCAATGACGAGAGACAATCATTGATTAGCTGCCTCCTGGACACCCCACACTGGGGATCAAGCCCACAACCCAGGCATGTGCCCTTGACTGGAATCGAACCTGGTACCCTTCAGTCCGCGGGACAACGCTCTGTCCACCTGGCCAAAACAGCTAGGGAGGGAGGGCACTAGTCTTATTTTTAAAAGTGGAACTAAAGCAGGTGAATAAACAACTTGTACATTTCCCTGTATACTTAAGATCAAAAAGGTAAATAATGTAAAGTGAAAAAATATATATTTTCTATTCTGATAATTTTTCCCTCGATATCCTTTCCCCTCCAATTGTCCTCCCATAATTCCACTCCCATCACCCAATCAGCTTTGCATTCGCCCTTGCAACTGGGACCAGGCATTGGGTTTTTACCAAAGAGCTTTTCATGATCTCACTTGGAGCAAAGTGCCCCCAGTGTGCTCCCACTTTAATTTATCTTTCTCATGGTGTGTTGAACGTGTCCTTACAGCTCTGCAGCTCCCGTTAGACCCTGCCCTCCTTACCTCTGTTTCCAGCACCTGAGACAGGCCATTGCATACATGTTTTTAAATAAAAATGCTAGAGCTTAGTTAAAATCTAAATGCATAATATATGAAAATAACCTTCTTTGTTACTTATGAATAATGGAAGCCTAAAAGGGTATGAAATTGTGCCTGGATTTTATTAAATTTTCCTTCCTATTTCAGAAGTCAAAGAAATACCAGCTTTTTATTGCAAGTGGTCCTGAAATTGATCTGAAAGACAAGGATTCATTTTCACAGCGCTGGCCTGAAAAGTTCTCTAATGAAGAGAACTGAGTACAAGTTGCCCTGCGTCATGATAATCTTGACAGCAGAGGTAGAAAAACTGAGGACAATTTGATTTTCTTTTCAGGAAAGAAAAGAAACAGTTGCCTGAGTATACATTTCTCTTTACACTCCAAGCTCTTTTTGTTGCCTGTGAGAGCTGAGGAAATTACACTTTGAGAAGTGAACTTTAGAATGCTGTCTAGAGGATCATAGAATGAGTGGAGAACATGCAATTGAAAAACAAATTTCTGACTTAATGTGTAAGATAGTTTCCCAAAAGACTTTTTGAAAGTTCCCTTAAAAAAGGAAGAGGAGAAAGTATTTGAAGTTTTTATTCTTGGCTTTTAGCACAAAAGTGTCTTTGTTCCATTTACCAGTTGTTTTGTGGTACCTGAAGGATGTAGCTTTGAATTCTTAGGTTCTTTAGTGGAAGATTAAAGTAAGGCACTTGTTCCTCTTTAATTCCTTTTTTTATGTGTGATAGACAAGATATTTTACACAAGCCGTTAATTCTCTGTGGTCATAAAAAAGCAATTTAATCTTATCTATAATTTTATAGGAATAGAATATAGTCAAGAAAAAAAAACCAACAACAACAAAAAATATGGTTGCCTGAGTCGAACGTACAGGGTTGGGTGGAGAATGATAGAAGATGAAGTTGCATATCATGGATAGCCTCTTATGATCAGCAAGGATGATTCTCACCATTTTGTGGCATGCTTGCATTTGTGTTTTAGATTAAATAAGTCATTCTGTTGGGTCATTATATTAAGCTATTCTAAATAGGCAGATTGGAAGATGAGACGAAAACCAGTCATTGAAGTCACCCAGGATGATGGTCAGACCTAGAGAGATCAAACCAAGTGTAGAAGTTTTCATAAACATATGGGACTGAACAGAATTTTGGTAGATGACATAAGGGGCAGATGCAGGAGTTTAGTCTAGCAAAGTTTTGGTGAGCCATTTGAATTCTGACCTTGTCTCAACTCTGTGGTGGTGGAGTCAGCAGTCTCCACTTGAGAGGAATGCAGGGCAAATGGTGTCTTCGTGGGAGAGCCAAGTTTCAGTTCAGTAAAGATGTACAGGATGCATGTAATGAAGAGGTTACCATGGAACAGAGTCTACAGAATTGTATGTCAGTTAATATTTTTCAAAGCCTTTTTCTTGTAGCACTTACTGTACAGTTTTTCCTTTTATTATACCTCCACCATTGAGATTGATTTACTCATTGAAGTAGTATGTATGAACACCTATTATGCCAGGCTTAGTGCTAGATATCAAAGTGTAGAGTGTTGAGTATGTTAAGTTCTTGAAATATGGACAGGATGTGTAGCAATCATGTTAGGTATAATTAGAATTGTGTGGAGTATTTAGGAATAGGTGAATATCTTAGTTTTTTTAGGGAAATTTCAGAGCCTTTGCAAGTAGAACTAAGCCTGTTCATTGAATTAAATAAAGAAGAAAATTGGTCCAAATAGCAATCTATTTTGTAGATGTCAAAAACTTCCTGTGATAGTCTCCCATTAAAATAGGGCACACAAGCATGACAAGATCCCTATGATGGATTTCTCATTTGCGATGAGAGAACAAGGGAGGTCTCAACCTCCCAGGCTTTCTAATTTGGGACCTAGGCTAATAAGTTACCTTTTTTGAAAGGTATTTATTCACTTATTTGGCATATTTTTGCTGAATGTGTTAGCATTGTACTGTATGCTAAGAATATAACAGAAAACAAGATAGATGGGGAGTCTTGGTCTCATGGAGTTTATCATCTATAAAAATAGTCATTATAGAGAACTTATTCTGTGCCAGCCATTGTGCTAGGTACTTACATGTATCCCCTATAACAGGGGTCCTCAAACTTTTTAAACAGGGGGCCAGTTCACTGTCCCTCAGACAGTTGGAGGGCTGGACTATAGTTTAAAAAAAAACTATGAACAAATTCCTATGCACACTGCACATATCTTATTTTGAAGTAAAAAAAAAAAAAAAAAAAAAACGGGAACAAATACAATATTTGTATTTGCAGGTGGTCTGCGGGCCATAGTTTGAGGACCTCTGCTCTATAACCTCTGACAACCCTTCTAGATACAGGATAATGTCCAATTTTATAAATGAAAAAATCGGGACCAGGGAGGTTGGAATTAGCCAGCCTCAGCATTCCCAGGACAAGCTGGTGTGAAGCACATGCAGCACTCCTGCCACCTCGATGCTTCCCACATATGCTGAAGGCCACTGTCAGGCAGCATCTTGTCAGGTGTCAATGTGGGAGCAAAAAAGAAATGAAGCCCAATTTTCAGGGAGAAAACAGTATATCGGATGACAAAATTAACACTGAAACTCCCGTAGAAAAATGAGTAAAGGAAAAGAACAATTCACATTAAAAAAATAATAATTCAAATAGCTAATGCAAAACATTCAATTTCACTTGCCAACAAATAAATGAGGATTGAAATAATGAGCCATAGCCAGTTTGGCTCAGTGGATAGAGTGTAAGCCTGCAGACTGGGTTCAATTCCGGTCAAGGACACATGCCTGGATTGAGGGCTTGATCCCCAGTGTGGGGTGTGCAGGAGGCAGCCTATCAATGATTCTCTCTCATCATTGATGTTTCTATTTCTCTCCCTCTCTCTTTTCCTCTCTGAAATCAATAAAAATATATTTTAAAAAAAGAAATAATGAGATACTGTTATCACCTATTCAAGTAAAACATGTATTTTTATGGTCATATTCAGTATATGAGTGAAGTGGTCTCTGTCAGGTATTAATATTAGAAGCATACTAAGTATCCATTCTGGAAAACAGTATTTTTCAAGAACCTTAAAATGTTTATGCCTTTAACCATGTAGTTACATTTCTAGGTGTCTGTCCTCAGGGAAGAGCTAGAAATTCAGATCACATTGTTTTCAAAAATGTTTGTCACATTGTTGTTTGTATTAGGGAAAATTTGAAAATAAATTACAACCAATGTAGATGCCATAATGTTATACTATCATTAAAAAGCGTTATTTTGTAGCTCATTTGATTGATATAGAAAATGTTAAGAAACTTTAAAAAACGGTATAAAACTATATGTAATACCACAATTGTGTAAAAGACGGTAGGTATATGTGTACATGTATAAATACATTAATTCAGAATACATTAATAAACTAGAAAGAATAAAAATATTAAGAATCACTCTTTGTATTTATAACTGCACATTATTTCCAAATTCTCTAAAATAAGTTTCTACTACATGTATGATTTTTTTTATAAAGAAAAAAATTGTTTTTACCTTCTTTGTTTGACAGGTATATGTGGAATAGAACATGAGGTAGAATAGAAATTGTCAAGAAGTGATTCCAGCCCTACCTCGTTTGCTCAGTGGATAGAGAGAGCATTGGCCTTCGGACTTAAGAGTCCCAGGTTCAATTCCAGTCAAGGGCATATGCCCGGGTTGCGGGCTTGATCCCCAGTATGGGGCATGCAGGAGGCAACCAATCAATGTTTCTCTCTCATCATTGATGTTTCTACCTCTCTACCTCTCCCTTCCTCTCTGAAATCAATAAAAATATATTTTTTTTAAAAAATAAGTGATTCCAACTCAATTTTCAAGACTGTTCTTAGTAGAAAACATATTCTGTTCCACAATTAAACAATAATAAAAGCAAAAATCATGTTATTTCTTTGACTCGTTTTATATTAAGGTTAATATGAGATCAAATTGTTATAATTTAAGTTCTAGATGTATTTCAGTCATCCAGTTTCAAAACACTGATGTAACAGTAGTACTTATGTCTTTATAGGTTTTACAACTGCCTACAACATGCTTTGGAAAGAGAAAGTATTACTGACTTATATCCCAAAGAGAAAATCATCAAGAAAAGTAATTCATATTCTCATAAGAAAAGAAGAAACCGAGAAAAAGCAGATGGCAAATGTGTTACTGAAGACAATGATAAAGAACTTGAAAATGATGATGATCCTGAAGTCAATGTAACTATCTTCCCTGAAGATTACTGAGATTTGGTTCTACAGTGTCTTTGGTGGAATAGTTTCTAATAATTATTACAAAGCTGCTCTTTATAAGAGTATTTTAGTTTATTGAGTGTATCAGACATTCAGAAAAGCAAAATTTAATTTTTCTCTATATTTTAGAGACACCCATCTTATAAATATAGATGCCTTTTTAAACTAGATATGTATAGTATTTGTTCTTTAAGTACCATCTTTTAAATCACAGAAATTCATTGCAAAAATAAAATTATGGTTGTTAATACATCTCCTCTTTTAAGTTTTAATTTCTACTTCTGCAAAACAACTATCATACCCTTTCAAGAGAACCTGAACATTAGGAATATTTGAATAAAAATTGTAGCAATGTTTAACTTATTTTTAACATTTATTGCACCTCAGAATCATCTGTAGATTATGAAAAAATACAGAAAGGAACTGAGAATCTCCAGGGACAGTTGCATGTGTATTTTTTTAAAGCTCTCAAGTGCTTTAATTGTCAACTACAGGCTAAGAACCCCGTGAGCATTCCCAGCTTTCTGTTCAAGCCATCTCATCCATTCCGTCAGCCTTCACTTCTGAAGCACTCCCAGCTCTCCTGCCTGCCCAGACTCTTGTGCCCGGCTAACTGCTGAGCCCCTTCAGTAGAGCTGTTACTTGATGGAAGTTTTTGTTTCTTTCCTGGTTCTTTGGCTAGAGAAAGCAGGCCTTTATTGACTTTTCCTTCTTTTTTCTGAGCCCATTGGCATTTCTGGTTGCTGGCTTTTCCAGTGCTGGGGGTATGCAAGGCAAAAGGAAAACCCAGTGAACTCACTCTGTTGCTCTTCAGGTCCTGTGAACTCCAGCTGGTCCTCCCTCTCCAGCTTTTAGAGTCATCTTCTTTACAAAATGTTGAGTTTTTAGTGACACTTAGTGGAAAGAACAGGAAAAAGTATATATACACCATCTTCCCAGAATCAAAAGTCTATGTTAAATTACTGCTAGTATCACGTCAGGTTATGGTTGAGGACACTGGAACCCAGCCACATAGCCACAGATTCCTTTATTCAACGCTGCTCCCATCTCCCAGCTGGCATGCTTGGCTGCTCTGGCTTTAGGCTGCTGGAGCCTCCACCCTAAAACAGAAGGAAGTGCCTAGAAGTCTGTTTGCTATCCCCCTGCCCTGACACCCACCACCACACAGCCAATAATGACAAAGGCTGCACATGGTGACTTCGTTGCCTAGAAAGGGGATGAACTTGGACGTGCAATTGCCATCTGAGCTCCGAATGGCATCAGGCTGAGGCTGGGACTTCACCCGAATCCTATCACATGTTTTCTACTCCCTGATCCACTTCTGGGAGCTCCTGATTAATCCGTCACTTGCAGTGGTGTCTTCTGGAAGAACATGACATAACACAGGTATTGACATTATGTTGGATGTATTTTAAAAGTGATGGCATATACTTATTTGAAAGAGTTGCTGTTTTAATATGCTAGAATTTATATTTTTGGTATTTAAACAACGCTGTAAACATGATGCAAATTTATGATGTTAAGCACATGATTTTAAAAATTCTTTTGGGGCAGTAACTATTGAGGATCACTTTTATAATACATCCTATATAATAAAAGCCTAATATGCTAAGTGTCCAGTGGCCCGGTTGGCTGTTCAATCAAAGTGTAATATGCTAATGACATGCTAAGGCCGCTCAACCGCTTGCTATGACCTGCACTTAACACCAGGGGGCTGACAGTCGACTGGTCGACCAGTTGCTATGACATGCACTGACCACCAAGGGGCAGACCCTCCGACCGGTAGGTTAGCTTGCTGCTAGGGTCCGGCCAATCAGGACCGAGTGAGATGGGCCAGATGTGCCCTGGAGCCCCTCCTTGGCTGGCCAACCTCCCACATCCCTCCCCGGCCTTAATTATGCACTGGTGGGGTCCCTCGGCCTGGCCTTTGCCCTCTCGCAATCTGAGACCCCTCAGGGGATGTCGGAGAACCAGTTTCAGCCGATCCTGCAGGCCAGGCCAAGGGACAACACTGGTGCATGAATTCATGCACCAGGCCTCTAGTCCTATATAATAAAAGCCTAGGTGGCATCACGTGATGTCGTCACAAGATGGCCACCCCATGTCGTCACAAGATGGCCGCCACAAGATGGTTACCCCCACGTTGTCACAAGATGATCACCACAAGATGGTCGCCACAGATGGTCATCACAAGATGTCTGCCACAAGATGGCCGCAGGGGAGGGCAGTTGGAGGTGACAGGCTGGCAGGGGAGCAGTTAGGTTAGGAGCCAGTGGTCCCAGATTGTGAGGGGCTTGTCCCTGCAGGATCAGGCCTAAACCAGTAGTCAGACTTCCCCTGAGGGGTCCCAGATTGGACAGGGTGCAGGCCGGGCTGAGGGACAGCCCCTCCCCACAGGGTACAAATTTCGTGCACCGGGCCTCCAGTACTATTATAGGAACCTAGTTGTGGGAATAATGGATTCTAGGTGAAGGAGTACTAGAAGTCCAATCAAGGAGATACCATATCGTTTAGGTCATAAAGAACAAGAGACAGGTTCACTTGACAGAGAAATAAATAAATAAATAATAAATAAATAAATAAATAAATAAATAATAAATTCAAAAAACCTCTTGCAGGCAGAGGAATGCGTAACATAATCAATGCATCTAACAGCATGATGTATATTCAGTAGTGTAAAGATTCCAGGAAAACTGAAATACAGCATGTGGTATGAAATCAGTGAAGCTGCTTGAAGCCCAATGGTGGAGCCTTGTGGTGTAGGGAGGAGGTAGACTTGTGTTTCCTAAACAGGGCTATGCATCAGAATTACCCAGGGTAGGACAGAGCATGGGGGACTGTGTTCTAATCTAAACCGCCTACTTCCAGGTTGTACCCTGCATCTCTCAAACCAGAATCTTCAATCTGGAGTCCAGAGATTTTCATTCATTCATTCATTCATTCATTCATTCATTCATTTATTGATTGATTTAATATTTTTATTGATTTCACAGAGGAAGTGAGAAGGAGAGAGAGTTAGAAACATCAATGATGAGAGAGAATCTTTGATCGGCTGCCTCCTGAACACCCCCTACTGGGGATCGAGTCCACAACCCAGGCATATGCCCTGAGCAGGAATCAAACCATGACCCAGGCCTGGTTCATAGGTCAATGCTCAACCATTGAGCCACGCAAGCCAGGTGAGAAATCTTTATTTTTTAAACAACTCATCTAAGTGATTTGGATAAAATTAGACCAGCACTCTTAGAATTCACTGGTAACAGACTTAATCCTAAAGGTACTGAAAAATCTTTAATTAAAGATTTTTTAATTACAAAAAAAGGTAACATGACTAGATGTTGCAATGTATCTGTGAAGGCTAAGCAGGAGCTTCCAAAATATTAATTAGTTAAGTGGCTGTCCTTATCCTTAGGTCTAAGGCAGCTGCCAGGAGGACTGGCAGCCTATACAGCTGTGTAAGTTGAACTCTGCACAACTCCAGGAAGGGACATTCCCCATCAATGACAATATGAATGACACCCCATGAACCTGTGCAGTGCACATTCCTATATACAAACATATACAGCCGTTCTGCCAGAAGGGAATTGGGCCAGGAAAGAAATCTTAGTCTTTATATTCTTAGAATGTCTGGAACATTTCTTCTAATTTCATGAATAGAATATGGAAAAACCTGCAATGTAGGTAGGTGGAAAAAGAAGAGAATTTAAAAATAAGTCCTACATACATGGGGACTATAGGAAAAGTGTTGGGGTGGGCTTGGGGAAGGGCGTTCTGTGGTAGAATGACTATGCATTCTGCTATTTAGAAATATGTCTAAAGGGCTCATAATTCAGTGACTTTCTTTCACTCATTTAAACTGATCCCTGAGGGACCTATGTATCCCAAAGGTCTATAACCTGAGTATATGCCTGAGAATCTGGAAGAGGGGAGCTGCCTCCTAATGCCTTTACCTAGGGTAACCTCTTAGGTTAGTAGAGAAGGGAGACCATGTGCTGGTCATCAAACTACCAAGGAGATATTGAATCCCATTCATTCTTTAGCATCCCTAAATATATTTTATTTATATGTTCAATCTGCATACCTTATCAAAAATAATAACCACAAGTGGGCAATTTAGTAAAAACTTAATATATATAAGATCTTATTGAGAAATACCTTCTGGTTTATTTTCATTGTTATTGATCTACCCCAAATAAAAGAATTTTTTTTCTTCCCCTAGGATGGAGGCAAGCATTTTTATTCCTAAGGCCTTGTTTCTCCATTCCTCTATATTATCTATGAATTAACTACAGTTAGATCTTGAACAATGCAGGAGTTAGGGGTACTAACCCCTGCACAGTCAAAATTTGAATATAATTATTGACTCTTTAAAAACTTAAATAATAATAGCCTACAGTTGACTGGAAACTTACCAACAATATAAATAATAGATGAACACATATTTTGTATGTTATATATATATATCATATATTATATATTATATCTTACTAGAGGCCCGGTGCACGAAATTTGTGCTCTTGGGCGGGGGGTGGGGGGGAAGTCCCTCAGCCTGGCCTGTGCCCTCTCGCAGTCAGAGAGCCCTCAGAGGATGTCCAACTGAAGGCTTAGGCCCGCTCCTCATGTCATAGTGACCGGTCGTTCCACCATCAGGCCAAAACAGTTCTCCGACATCCCCCGAGGGGTCCCAAATTGCAAGAAGGCACAGGCCAGGCCAAGGGACCCACTAATGCACAATCAGGGCTGGGGAGGAATGTGGGAGGTTGGCCAGCTGGGGAGGGGCTGCAGGAGGGCTCCAGGGCATGTCCAGCCCATCTCACTCAGTCCCGATCAGCCAGACCCCAGCAGCAAGCTAACCTACCGGTCAAAGTGTCTGCCCCCTGGTGGTCAGTGCACATCATAGCAACTGGTCGGCCGGTCGACTGTCTGCCCCCTGGTGGTCAGGGCACGTCATAGCAAGTGGTTGAGTGGCCTTAGAGTATCATTAGCATATTACGCTTTGATTGGTTGAACGGCTGACCAGGTGACCAAACACTTAGCATATTAGGCTTTTATTATATAGGACTAGAGGCCCAGTGCATGAAATTCTTGCACTGGGGGGGCATCCCTCAGACCGACCTGCACCCTCTTGCAATCTGGGACCCCCTTGGGGGATGTCCAACTGCCCCCTGAGGGATCAGGCCTAAACCGGCAGTTGGACTTCCCTTTCGCAATCCAGGACCGCTGACTCCTAACTGCTCGCCTGTTTGCCTGATTG